ATTATTACCCTTTAATCTAAATTAACAAATTATTTAGACTCTACGACGGCTATTCCAATTTCTACGACAAAGACCAACAATCTAATTACCTTAAGCGCTACTCTTAACTCATCAGCATCAATCAAACCAAGCTCAGTAACACTAATATGTAAGTTGATTGATTGATATACATGCTTTAGTAAACGATGGCATACATCAAACAATAGTTATCTACAATCTATTCAAAATCGGTGAAAATGAATATTTCATGTTACTCTTGATAATTCGAAATGAGCCGTAACTTCTGCATCCAAACTATCTTCATAGTCTATACTGTGCTTTTTACCGATCTTGCATAAGTCTATCGAATGCATTGAACATACTAATAACGTACTTTGTCTCATAAGCACGAATAATCGTCAGTTTCTCGCTCTAGTCTGTTGTTATTTTACGTAATTCTCCTTAATAGCTCTTGATAATTGAAATATACTCAAATAAAAATAGTGCAACAGAAACTGAAGAAAACTATCTACAGGAAATAAATATCTTTTGAAAGTTTCAACCTTGCATAAAATGATAGAATAAAAAGTATTGTTCTTTGAGTTGTGTGATATTCTGTCACCTTCAACTATTCGGTCATTGTGCACTAAAATTCCACAGCACCGTTTGCACTTCTGACCCATCAGCAATCTAGACATGACTATGAATCGAATATCTTTCTCAACAGATTCTTTTCTATTGTCAAACTAAATGTACTGTGAAGAATAAAGAGCTAATCATAGAGTGCGAATCGATCGACAATTATGAAACATTTGGTCATATACCTCTATATAAAAAATAATAGCGAATAGACTATCACAATTGGTATTCATTATATGTACTTTATATACTATGCACACTATGTTTTAGTTATTTGTATGCTGATCATGTCAATACTACGAATGCTTCCAAAACGTCTATTCTAATCGAACGACAACGAAATTGATCGACATTTCTAATTTGATCAAACAACCAATTCATCATGTTTTCTAGTAACAACACACCTACTTCTCACATTTCAACGATACAATTAGTCTTAATTCTTCTTTTTTTTCTATTGAATATTGATTGCTTTTTGATTAAAAGTAATCAACATTATCATTTCTTTTGTACTATTTCTATTATACTTAGACTTTCTCCTATGATAGCAGAATCACTTTTGCTCACGCTTATTTTACATGAATAATGTATTGAATGGTATATTTTTGTTTTAATAAATAAGTTTTAAGACATTGGTTTTCCTTCATGTTGAGCCTTCCACTTTCGTCTTCTTCTTTTGTTGTATTATCCTAATGAACCATCAACATGATAAGGTTCTTCCAAAAGTAACATTCTCATCTTATTGTTAATGACAAACGTGATCATGATTGTCTATGTAATAGAAGCTTCTGTGTCTTCAAAGCTTGTAAGTTACATGGACAATTGAGCTCAAAGCAGAAGAGCTCCTTGTTGGTATTCAAGCTTTTTATATATAATTCTGACGAAAATAAACAAGATAGTATGTGTACGTTATTCATTATGATTCAATAATATACTAATTATATAAAGATAAATACAAATAATCAAACATACTCCTCAATCTTTGTGTCAGAAACTATTTTCAAAATAATGAAAAAAATTCTCAAGGTTTGAGTGGGGCGTGGATGTGGGTCTTAGTATTTTCAGTGGTATACCACACCCTCTGACACGCACACCCACATACCCACACCCTCATGTCCATTGAAATTAGGCGCCTGTCATCTAAAGGACTTCCGGGTAGTCCTTGAAAGCTCTGTCAGGAACTGTTGCGGTATCCGTAGCACACGACTGAGTCATCCAGGCTCATTGGCACATCTCTCGAGTAGGTGGGATATGCACGATGCGAGTCTGTACCGTGCATGCATGAGCTTTACGCTGGCCACGCCTTCAGCAGTGTTTCCTCGTCGTGTGCATGAATAGAATAAGAATTCCTTTATTCATTCAACGTGAACTCATTCGAAAGAAAGGAAAGAAAAAAAACATAATTGATCGTAATGAGTTCATTCGATTGAAAAGCGTTGAACACGATCATTTCCCCGATCGACGACATAAAGATTGCCTTGTCGATCGAAGGACATATCGATGGGATTCGCGAATTGATTTGTTCCTCGTCCCCAACCATTTCCACTCACAATAACAGTGCCTTGTTTCGCTCCTTCAGGCCAGCGCATTACTCGATTATTTCCCGAGTCTGCCACATAGAGGGTACCTAACGTATCGACGAACAGTCCATTAGGGTTCCACAATTGTGTCAGAGCATTCCCGTGACCTTGACTCCCAGCGACGACAATTCCTTCTGTTGCACCTTTATTCCATTTCATAACACGATGATTGTCACTGTCTGACACGTAGACAGACTGTTCTTGATCGACAAAGATGTAGGTAGGCCATTTGAATTGATTAACATCAGCACCCGGTCCATTGCCACCAGCCACGATAGTTCCATTCTTGTCTCCTATTTTATATCGTCTTACTTCGTATTTGTCGTCTTCAGAGATGTAGAGATATCTCTGATCATTCATGAACAATCGATAACAAGAGATGTTGTGGATGAGGATTATTCCAAATGTGTCACTAGGACGAGACCATCGTAGGACTCACCGATTCCCTCGATCACAGATAATGACACTATCAGTCTCTTTGTCAATCAACACATCGGTTGGCCAATACAATTGATCGAATCGATTTCCTTGGCCACAATTACCAGCTACGACTTGTCCTTTCGTATCACCCATCTTCCATTGGATGATACGATGATTGTCGGTGTCAGCGATAATAATCGTTCGATTATCATCAATAAACAGACCTTTCGGTAGGTTGAGTTCATCAAAGGCTCTGCCACTTCCACCGCCTCCAGCAACGGTCACTCCATTCTGTGCCCATCGAGCATCGACAGAAATATTGGGAAGTATACTACAATGAACGTGAAAAAGAAAAGAAATCATCACCGTCGTTGCCTACAAATAAGATATTTTTCTTCTTCGAAGTAAACTAGATAGAACTTTGGAGAATGTCCTTCCTCAATGTAGTCTTAACAATCAAAAGATTTTCTCTCATAGATATAAACTGGAAAATCTTTTCCTAGTTTCGTACGAAAAAAAACAACTTGGGAATAATTCTTATAAGAATATTCTGAGATTTCTGAAAAGAGCCTTTTTTCGGGAAGAAGCAGTTCTGTAATACTGAGAAGAATCATGCTAATCATAGCAAAACTTAAATCGTTGCAGAATTTATTTGATGAAGCGAGGATAATGAAGTTAGTCAGATTGCTAAAATGAAAGAAAAATTGAGAAGATTCTATCTGAACCTTGGTCTTTGGATGTTCAGAGAACGTACTGATCACATGATTTTTATGTTCTTGCTAAATTATGGAAAGCTCTTCTCACGGAGATCTCTGAGAAGACTCTAGCAACGTATACTAATGACAAGGAATATCTTGAAGTTCTTGAGAATGGAATGAAAAAGTCATTGATGAAGTTAGTACTATTGAAAATCTTGAGAAATCTAACGCTAATAGTATGCTATCTATTGATTAGAAAACATGAAGATGTGAAGATTATATTTTTAGTTTCCAAGGCAAAATTTTATCAATGAGTATCAAAAACGAGAGTAGTGAACTAAAGTCCTTGAAGGATTTCCATTCAAGTCAAAATATAAAGAACGTTGTCAAATACCAAAACTGAAAAAAGTTCTAAGAAGATTCTATTAGTGTGTGGTTAGAGAGAACTTGAAGAGTGAGAATTCTACAGTTCTCGGAAGACGAATACGTATCCTGATCAGCACGTATTTGAGGTTACTTTTAACATAGTTGGACGAAACTCTTCATCACGTGATGTTCTCGATGAATAATGCAAATCTACTGAAGGAACTCATTATTACTCACTTACTGGATGGACGTGACGTTTTCCTTTCAGATTTTTTTGTTCAACGTATGCGTAACTTTTCGAAGAAGAATCCAGATAGGATAATAGCAAGATCAAAAGTAGGTTTGTATGGATCTAAACCTAAGGAAATTTCAAAGTATTCAACGCAAATAGTTGAAAATAAATACTTTCTACGTCTAAGACACTAAATAATCCAATACCAAGTTTATCGAAGTTCGTCATAGTAAAACGTAGGGATCAGCAGATTTTAGTACCAAGGTGAGAAAGCGTTCTAAAAGTTATTATTAATTTATAAAGAAAATCAGCTTCGAACCAGCGTCTGAAGAAGATAAAAAAGCATTTCAATGACTAAACGGTGATAACCTCTTTGAAAATCGAAAATGCAAAAAAAAATCCAGAGAATATTCCATCAGGATCTTCCCTTAATGTTTATGTATCACTTGTTCTGAAAATATTTCTCTACGTTGAAAAATGGTTGTTATTATCATGAGGATTTCATCCATGAGAGATTCGAAACTATTCTGTGTTCATCGGGCATCGGTTGGAATATTAGGAGTCCGCTACAACGAACGAGAAAGAAAATAAGATATTCTTCTTCCTTGAAAAAACTTGATAAAATTTTCGAAACTGTTCTTCCCTAACATATTCTAAAGAAGTAAAAGGTTCTCTCCTACAGATATTAATTGGGAAACCTTGTCCCTAGTTTCCTATGCAACGAAAAGAACTTTGTAACGATTCTTACGACAATCGTTTGACATTTCTCGAAAGAGTTCTTTTCGAGAGGAACCATTTCTGAACTACTGAGAAAAGTAATGTTAATCTTATGCAAACTTCAATTGTTTCAAGATCTATATGATGAACTGTAGACTCTTTTTCAAGCAACCTAATAATGAAGTTAGTCGGATTGGTAAAATGAAAGAAAAACAGAAGATTCTATATGGATAGAGAACGTGTTGACCACATGTTGTTTTTGGTGTTGTTATGCAAATCTTCTGAAGGATAACTTAAACACTTTCATAGACGATGCAAGAGACAATTTTCGTAACGAATGTCTTTAGAGGAGTCTAGCAACATATACTAAAAACAAGAAATATCACGAAATTTTTGAAAATAGAGCAAAGAGGTTAATGCAGAAGTTCACATTGTTGAAGTTGCTGAGAAGTCTATCTCTAGCAATTACTGCGTCACAGCTAAATGATCAGTCTTCAATTTCACAAGTTTAGTCATTAGAAATATGACAGAAAATTATAAACGACTTTTCTTTCAATCTAGAGATCGATCGCAGTTGCTTGAAAAAGGCTGCCCAGTGAACCTAATATTCACAAGAATCAGTTGAATACACAATGAAAATTGTAAATAAAGAGAAGCATGACACAATAAATTTGATGTGCCATTATAAAAATCTAAATACATGACACATTCTATAGAATCGAATATTCAATTGTTCAATTTGTTTCGGTCTATGATTGTATATTGAAAAGTTCATTACATCTTCATGCATTGCTAGATATAACGGTAGAGAATTCTCTTTTTCAAATTAGTGGATATGATTCATGAAACGAGATGAAATCTTTTTTTTTTAAAGACTCTTTCCTACCGCTTCTACAAAAACATGAAGTATGTTTATTCTCTTACATGGTATTGGTGGACAAAGTTGTCGATTGAAACTCGGCACCGGATAGCAAACAGGAAGATTATGACATTGAGGATGATGAACACACCTATGGTTACGATCGTTACAAAGATTGCTTGAATGTTCGCATGTAACTAGTTCAGAACAATCGATGAATTCATCGGCACAAATGCCAATGTCATCAGCTCCTGCTATATGGTAACAAGCAATGCACTATTTGTAGAACATCGATCATATTGAGGTATCCCATTACAGAATTGAGATTTCACTCGAACTAGTAACATATGAATTAATAGTAGAATATGTAAAACGAAAACGAAACAATAATCAAACCTGTAAGGCTGAAAATGAAGAGTCTTCAACATTAGATGAATAAGAAAAAAATACGTTTTATGATTACCTGAATAGAACGAATACGAAACAATGGACTACTGTTGAAAACATCGTTTGCGTTGAAATGAGAAAGAATAGCCACGGCATCCATTTTTATATCTAATGAAGAGACAATATTTTTCGCATTAGTCGAAAGCGAAGAAGCGTATGACGTGATCCTTCGATAAACAAAAATTCGATATTAGTCCACTGCTTTCTTAAGCACTTAACTATCTCGGAAAAAGTAATCTTTATAGAAGAAAAAAAAAGCGCCATAAAAGCAATATGGGTTTGCTTTTGCAATATAAACGCTATATAGGCTCCTGACATCATTAGAAACACGAATACTATTATTGTCACTCATCACCATATTGTGCAATGACATTTTAGGACAATTTCAAGGACAAACTTTGTTTTTAATATTCGTATGTTTATTATGAATAGCTTAAAGAGATTCGTATTTTGATTGCACCTAAGTCAAAATATATAGTCAGTCACATTCATTTGTATTTTGAACTGTGTCGTCGTTGCACCAAAAGAGTTTATTTGTTTGACTGCGTATTCAAGTCTCATTTCTGACATAACCATGTCCAGTTTAGAAAAAACCTTCTATGAAGAACGTGGCGCGGCTAAGAGTACAATTAATATTAGGGTGCAGTGTGGGTGTGAGATGGATGTGGGTATGGCTGTTGGTATGAGTTGTGTGCGAATGTATGGTTGTAGGAGTGGGGAAGGGGTGTGGGCTGAGTGTACATGTATTTCTCTTCACCACCCACACCCAAATTGATTTAAAAAACATAAAACAACGATGGATTTTGTGGGTGTGCCTATGGTTTGACCCTTTTCTCTTTCAAAGAAAACACGCTAGCCTATATTAGAAACCTTGAGGGTGTGGGGTGTGGGTGTGGGTGGGTGTGGGTGTATAGTGGGTATGTGGGTGTGGATGTGTGGGGGTGTGGGTGTGTGTGTGGGGGGTGTGGGAGTGGGTGGGTGTAGGTGTGGGTGTGGGTATGGTTGTCGGTGTACTTCAAGAGTGTGTTCTCTTGACTCACACCCACACCCCACACCCACACCCACACTCCACACCTACACCCCACACCCATACCCAAACCCACATCCACATCCACACCATCCCAATCTCTACCAAATATCCTTGTTTTTTTTCCAAAATCTTCTTATGTCTCCAAGGGCGTGCGTCTGGATGTACACGTATATCTTCTCTTGACTCACACTTCATACAGAGAAAAAGTTATGGAAGCAAAAATTTTGTTTTACAGCATAAGCAATTCGAATTGAAAACAAAATATATTTTTTCTTTCACGTGGAAGATGTTTAGAAACAACGACGCGATTGATTTTGCAATCTGACACCAGTCCAGATGTTAATTAATTCATTCGATAATTTAGGTTTTTACAATTGTTGAACAAGCCGTGAGCATAAAAAAGAAGTAAGAAAATATTCTGAAGATTACTTGAACTGAAAAAAAAATATTGCATTAACATTTTTTGCCAGCGTTACTTTCCTTCGAAACTGATTCTTTATGTTTTCATTTGGTTCGATGAGTAGTGTCACATATCCAAGATTTTGGAGATGCCAACACATCTCCCGTGGGAGATGCCGCGTCTCCAGCGGG